CACACATATGTATCAATAACTTCCCTTCCTTACACATAGTATCAATAAACTTCCCTCCCTTGACACATATGTATCAACAACTTCCATCCTTTGACACATATGCATCAACGGATTCCCTCCTTTGACACATATGTTTCAATAACTTCCCTCCCTTCACACATATGTATCAATAACTTCCCTCCCTTCACACATATGTATCAATAACTTCCCTTCCTTAACACATAAGTATCAATAACTTCCCTCCCTTGACACATATGTATCAATAACTTCCCTCCCTTAACAAATATTTAACCACAACTTCTCTCCCTTAACACATGCGTTTCCTCCACCTTTCCTCCCATAACATATATCACCACAGCATCCTTCCCTTGACGCATATCCACGCCATATATGTATCCACCGTTCCTCTACTTATTGCAGATGAAGATAACAGTCTTGGTCGCGTTGTTATCGGTGACGTCAGCCGGGAGATACGAAAATGAAGTCGTTTCTCTCGATTACACTAAAGGAAACGTTCAGAGTATGGTACGTGTGTTAAGCTTATGTTTGTTAAAGGACATGCTGAAGAAGTAGGTATTTCATAGATGGAGTGGTAGATATAGATGTAGATGTATAAATATAGATATGATTTGTAGGCCTAGACAGATATGAAAAGGGGGATGGAGAGAGATTGGGGAGATAAGGAAAGAGGGAGAGAAAGAGAGAGAGAGTGAGGATGAGAGAGAGAGGGGGGGGAGCGGGAAAGAGAGAGAGAGAGAGAGAGAGCAAGAGACAGACAGACAGACAGACAGAGAAAGAGAGACAGAGAGAGAGCGGGAGAGAAAGACAGACAGACAGACATGTAAAAAAATAATTAGAGAAACAAACAAACAAACAGACAAAAATAAAAACAGAAATATACAACCGAAAAATGACACACGAAGAATACCTGAGTCAACGTGAATATTGCATGAACGGGAAACAAAGGAAATGCGAAACCAGGTCGTGGTGAAAGTGGCGCCGAGGTCGAAGGAGGGTCGCGTGTGGTGAGTGTGATGTTCGTCGATGATGCTTTGTTTAAATATAGCAACATCAAGTTCTTCTTCTTCTTACTTTTTCTCCTTTTCCTTCTACTCTTTCTCCTTTTCCTCCTTCTACTCCTTCTCCTTTTCCTTCTCCTACTCCTCCTCTTTCTTCGCCTCCTTCTCTTTCTCCTTCTCCCTCTCTTTCTTCGCCTCCTTCTCTTTCTCCTTCTCCCTCTCTTTCTTCGCCTCCTTCTCCTTCTCCCCCTCTTTCTGAGTCTTCTTCTCTTCCTCCTCCTCCTCCCTCTCTTTCTCCGCCTCCTCCTCCTTCCCCTTCTTCCCTTATGTCTTCCCCTCCTCCTCCTACTCCTTCTCTTCCTCTTTCTTCGCTCCTTTTCCTTCTCCTATTCCCTCTCTTTATTCGCCTCCTCCTCCTACTCCTTCTTCTCTGAGCGGGGGATAAAGAATGTCAAATTTCACAATTTTCTTCCAGGAATGCTAAATGGATGATTTTCGTCATAAAGATGTTTTTGCTTTTTTTATGAGGATATAATTTGTTTGTTACCATAGCTGCTGCTTCTTTTTGTGTTTATTATTATAGCTGTCGTTATTAATATTGTTATAGTTTTCTTTGAAATCATTGTGAATAAAGATATTGTCATCATTATTTCCTTTGTCATAGATATGATATGTATTATCTTGCTGCTATCATCATTAACTATGAAGGTTATTGCGGAGATTATCATCATCGACATCTGCCTCCATTTCCCTCTCCTTGTCAAACCACACCTCCATTTCCCCTCTCCCTTATCAGACTTTACCTCCATTTCATCTTCCTATTAATTCACATCTCCATTTCCCTCTCCTTATCTCCGCCTCCATTTTCCTCTCCCTATCAAACCACACCTCTATTTCCCTCTCCTAATCATAACACGGCTACATTTCCCTGTCTCTATCATACCAAACCTTTATTTCCCTCCCCTTTATCTACCACACTTCCATTTCGGTCTCCCTATCACACCACACCTCCATTTCCCTCTCCCTTTTCAAACACACATCCATTTCCGTCTCCTAATGAAATACACATCCATTTCCCTCCCCCTATCAAACCACACATCCATTTCCCTCTCCCTATCACACCACACCTCCATTTCCTTCTAATCAAACCACACATCTATTTCCCTCTCCTAATCAAACACACCTCCATTTCCCTCTCCTAATCAAATACACCTCCATTTCCCTCTCCCTATCACACCACACCTCCATTTCTTTCTAATCAAACACACATCCATTTCCCTCTCCCTATCACACCACACCTCCATTTCCCTCTTCTAATCAAACTCCGCCTCTTTTTCCGCCTTCCACCTGTAGGTAGACGTGAGTCAGGACGGCAGTGATTACCACTTCTCCTGGCGCCATGACGGAGGCAGGATGTACGAGTGGGCCTTCGGGAACCAGTACTGTGCCAGTCTAGGGAAGGAATGGCACGGTGTCAGCATCGAGAGTCTGGATGAAGACAGAAGGATCTCCAGTATTATAGCTGGAGGTAGGGAGTCGGGATATGATTTTTTTTTCTCCCTGTCACCTGATCTTTCTCTTTCTCTTTCTTTCTCTCTCTCTCTCTCTCTCTCTCTCTCTCTCTCTCTCTCTATATATATATATATATATATATATATATATATATATATATATATATGTATATGTGTGTGTGTGTGTGTGTGAGTGTGTGTGTGTGTCTGCCTCTTTCTCTCTCTCTCTCTCTCTCTCTCTCTCTCTCTCTCTCTCTCTCTCTCTCTCTCTCTCTCTTTCTCTCTGTTTTTGTCTCACGCACTCACTAGTCAGATTATAAAAGAAAATATCACAACAAGAAATTAATTATAAAAGAAAAATCACAATAAAAATAATGTAAACACATTCATTTTTTCCTTTTTCTTTTTTGCAGACCGTATGAAATACATCTGGACTGGAGGTGTTCGCCAAAACTACAAGTGGTTATGGCCTTCAGGAGCGGTCTTTGTCGGTCTGAACTGGTCTCCGACTGGAGGGTGAGTAGTTTTAGGCATGGGTGAGTAGCTTATGGCATGGGATGGGTAGGTAGCTTATGCCATAAATGAGTAGCCTATGGCATAGATGAACAGCCTACGGTATGGTAAGTAGCCTATGGCATCGATGAGTAGCCTATAGTATGGATAAGTAGCCTATGGCATCGATGAGTAGCCCATGGTATGGGTAAGTAGGCTATGGAATCAGTAAGTATCCTATTGTCTGGGTAAGTAGCCTGTGGCCTGGGTAGGTAGCCTATGGCATGGACAAGTAGCTTGTGGCATGGATAAGTAGCTTGTAGCATGGGTTGGTAGCCTATGGCATGGATAAATAGTTTGTGGCATGGGTGGGTCGCCTATGGCATGGATAAGTAGCTTGTGGCATGGATGGGTAGTCTATGACATGGGTAAGTAGCCTGTGGAACGACTGTGTGGCTTGTAACGAGAATGAGAGACAGGTTAGTGGCCTATGACCCGGAAGAGTGGCTTATAACCCGGGTGAATGGCGTATCACACGGGTGAGTAGTCTGTGACACAGGTGAGTGGCATATGACTCAGATGTTTGGCCTACGACACAGCTAAGTAAGTGTTTTTTTTCTGGGATTGAGTTGAATGCTGAGGTTTTCATGTGTTCAGTTTATATCCGTCACTTTGAATGCTAATTTTCTTTACACTAGATGGAAGCCGAGTATAAAGATTGTGGATGTTATGTCATATCGTCTTTGAATCGACCGAGTAATTATGAATCTCAACAGTATATTCTTTGTGAATAGAGCGAATCAATCTGATCATGTTTATAGTGTTTTATTTAACTGGCGTGTATATTACATAATGGTTATGAGTTACAGGTAAAGTGAGTGGTGTTTCATATGAGTAAGTATGAACTGGTGTGCGAGTTTCACATGAGTCATAGTGAAAGGTATCTGCAACTTGAACTCAACTTGATTTTTGCAATAAGGAGATGGTTGCAGTTTAAGTTATTGGTTCATCTTACGGGTTAGAGATAAAGATGAAAATATTTTTATATCATATGTATTTTCTTAATCATGTTTTTGTTTTTCAAGTTAGCTTCCATTGTCTATTTATGTTTTGTATATGTATATGTTTTGCGCGTGCGTGTGTGTGAGAAAAATGAACGGAATATAGATATGGATATAGATAGATAAAGATAACAATTAATTCATATAATCATGAATATTTGATTAGTATATGGATATTAGATGAATTAGATGAATACAGATAGTTAGATAAGCCAAAACAAAGATATTAAAAAGATACATATTATGCACGAAGCAGATAATATGAATATACATACAAATATAAACAGACACATATATATATAACACATGCATACAGATAACCATAAACACAGATATACAAAACAGAGATAAAAATAACCAAACACACCAACACACACAGATACGAACAAACAAACAGTTATTTAACCTCCCCCCCCCTCCTCCTCCTTATTCCAGGGACGGCCGCCCACAACCCGACAACCGAGAGGGAAGAGAACTGTGTCTTGCAATTCTCAACAATTTCTACGATGACGGCATCCGGTGGCACGATGTTGCATGCCATCACGAGAAGCCGATCATATGCGAAAGAATTTCCTTCGGGAATTCCTGATGTGCAACGCAGGTGTAAATAATAATAATGATAATTATAATTAAGTGGTAATAATGCTTGCACAGTGATTAAAAGGATACACGGCCACAGTAGATTTATTTTTGTTTATTTATATATAAATATATATATATTTTTATTATTATTATTATTATTATTATTGATAATTGAAGGAATAAGTAAATAAGGTAAAAATTAATTTCAGTTTGTTATTCGTCTGATGAGGAATTGTCGGTGAGTTCGAAACGTTACGTTCTTTTTATTATTATAATTTATTTACTTTTTATTTTATTATTATTATTATTATCTATTTACTTTTTATTATTATTATTATTTATTTACTTTTTATTTTATTATTATTATTTTTGATAATTGAAGGAATAAGTAAATAAGGTAAAAATTAATTTCAGTTTGTTATTCGTCTGATGAGGAATTGTCAGTGAGTCCGAAACGTTAAGTTCTTTTTATTATTATAATTTATTTACTTTTTATTTATTATTATTATTTATTTACTTTTTATTTTATATTATTATCATTATTATTATTATTTATTTACTTTTTAAATTATCATTATTATTATTTATTTACTTTTTATTATTATTATTTTTGATAATTGAAGGAATAAGTAAATAAGGATAAAAAATAATTTCAGTTTGTTATTCGTCTGATGAGGAATTGTCGGTGAGTTCGAAACGTTACGTTCTTTTTATTATTATAATTTATTTACTTTTTATTTTATTATTATTATTATTATCTATTTACTTTTTATTTTATTATTATTATTATTTATTTATTTACTTTTTATTTTATTATTATTATTATTATCTATTTACTTTTTATTTTATTATTATTATTATCATTATTATTTATTTACTTTTTTATTTTATTATTATTATTATTTATTTATTTACTTTTTATTTTATTATTATTATTATTATTTATTTACTTTTTATTATTATTATCATTATTATCTCTTTTTGTGGCTGTGCTTTCTTTTAATATCCTTGAGGTGTTCTGAGTGTCTGCTTGGATGTTTGTTTGTTTGTTTGACGTGATTGTGTTTCATACTAAGGAGAGAGAGAGAGACAGGTCCTGATCTTCAGTTTTCTTTTAAATTGGTTCTGATATTACTGTTTTGATTTCTATTTTGTAGAATCTTACGTTTATTTTTCGCGGTATTTTTTTTTCTTTCTTTCTTTCTTTTTTCTCTTTTTTTTACGGGGTCTTAGTCTTCTTGGATTTCTATAGTGCCTGTTCCTTATTCTTTTCATCTCTTTTGTGTTCTTACTTTTCTGTCTCCATCTCCAGTTCCCTTTCTAATTTCTTCTCTTTTCCTCTTCTATCTACTTTTTCTTTCTTCTCCTCTTCTTCTTTCTTCTCTTCTTATTCTTATTTCTTTGCTGACATGGATAAACTTCAATGCACACACACACACATATATATATGTGTGTGTGTGTGTGTGCGCATGCGTGTATGTGTGTGTATACATTTCTCTTCTATCTATCTAACGTCTATCTGTCTATCCATGTCTTTCTATCTACCTATCTCTTTCCGAAAGCATGACAAGCATCTTGGACACACCTGGTCAAAATTTTGCTTATCATTTCCTATCATTTTTTTTTTTTTTTAATTATTATTATTATTTTTGATAATTGAAGGAATAAGTAAATAAGGATAAAAAATAATTTCAGTTTGTTATTCGTCTGATGAGGAATTGTCAGTGAGTCCGAAACGTTAAGTTCTTTTTATTATTATAATTTATTTACCTTTTATTTCATTATTATCATTATTATCTATTTACTTTTTATTTTATTATTATTATTATCATTATTATTTATTTACTTTTTATTTTATTATTATTATTATTCATTTATTTACTTTTTATTTTATTATTATTATCATCATTATTATTTATTTACTTTTTGTTTTATTATTATCATTATTATTTATTTACTTTTTATTTTATTATTATTATTATTTATTTATTTACTTTTTATTTTATTATTATTATTATTATTTATTTACTTTTTATTTTATTATTATTATTATTATTTATTTACTTTTTTTGTTATTATTATTATTATTATCTCTTTTTGTGGCTGTGCTTTCTTTTAATATCCTTGAGGTGTTCTGAGTGTCTGGTTGGATGTTTGTTTGTTTGTTTGACGTGATTGTGTTTCATACTAAGGAGAGAGAGAGAGACAGGTCCTGATCTTCAGTTTTCTTTTAAATTGGTTCTGATATTACTGTTTTGATTTCTATTTTGTAGAATCTTACGTTTATTTCTCGCGGTATTTTTTTTTTTTTTTTTTTCTCTCTCTCTTTTTTTTACGGGGTCTTAGTCTTCTTGGATTTCTATAGTGCCTGTTCCTTATTCTTTTCATCTCTTTTGTGTTCTTACTTTTCTGTCTCCATCTCCAGTTCCCTTTCTAATTTTTTTCTCTCTTCCTCTTCTATCTACTTTTTCTTTCTTCTCCTCTTCTTCTTTTTTCTCTTCTTATTCTTATTTCTTTGCTGACATGGATAAACATCAATGCACACACACACACATATATATATGTGTGTGTGTGTATGTGCGCATGCGTGTATGTGTGTGTATACATTTCTCTTCTATCTATCTAACGTCTGTCTGTCTATCCATGTCTTTCTATCTACCTATCTCTTTCCGAAAGCATGACAAGCATCTTGGACACACCTGGTCAAAATTTTGCTTATCATTTCCTATCATTTTTTTTTTTTACACTCTTTCTCTCTCTCTCTCTCTCTCTCTCTCTCTCACCCTCTCTCTCTCTCTATCTATCTATCTATCTCACTCTCTCTCTCTCTCTCTC